TATCAAAGTACTACTTCTTTATTCAAATTACATAAATAATACTGGTCACCTTGGCTATTGGCTAGATTTAGAAGCAGCACCTGGTAATGTGAAAACCTTAAGCCTGGGAAACGCATGGTGGACCCTGACTTGTATTTATAAAGTGTCTTGCCCTGTGAGAAACCTCCCAATTGTTGTCTGTAAATGAGAATGGCTGGATCTGTGTCAGGGTTGTTGTGTATCGGAAATAAGTACACTACAAAGAAAACACACCAAGGAAGTGCCCAACAGAATGGATTTGTGGGTGATAATTGGAACTGTTCAGAAGTGATCATCTGGAGTATTAGGAGATCACATTCCTAGTCCTGTATATGGCCGTGTTTTCTGTTTGACTACTACTGTGTTGCCAATGATCTGTACCTTATTTTCATACCTAATAAAAGTAAATTTCATACTGTGCTACACACCAAGTATTTCTCTTTCTTGTTTGCCAGCCCTTTAATCAGGAAGGTTGCTAGAGCAGGAACCACACCTCTGGCACCTTTTCACCCTACCAGTAATTCACAATAAATGGTGAATTTGTATTACTTTCTTGATCCCAATCCAGACGTAGTATTTTGTTCATTAGGACAGAAACTCAGGGAATGGTAAAGTTACTTTTACGTTAGACCTTGAACAGCTAACGTTTTTGTCAGCTTAAATGGACACCTCGTTTTTGTATATGTGCTTCAAATGCCAGCTTTTTCGTGCCCCGAGAATGCTTTAAGTTTTCCTTCCTTTGAATGAACATAACTGCATTTTTTATGGGGCACAATACATATTTCAATACATACAATACATATTTCAATACATACGCCGAACAGATGTGAAAAAAGCAACCTATCTATCCCCTCAACCACGTGTCATGTCTTTGAGTTGACAACATTCAACCTTACTAGGCAAAAAAATGAGAAGTCATTCCTCCCCATCCAACTGCATTCCTGCAAGCATCAGCCATCCTCTCTTCGCTACCTCCTTACCCTGGCTCCAACTTTCCACACTGAGATCAACGTTTTCGTTTCCGTCTGTAGACATTTTTATTTACTATAACAAGTAGATATCTCCTTTTGAAAACCCTTTACTCTGTAAAGAGGAGGGTCTTTATACACAGGCTTTGAGCTCTCTATCCTACCTCAGTCTCTCGAGAGCCGGGATTCCCGGCATAAGCTTACCAGTTATCCACGCAAATCCTCCAATTATCCACGGAGACCCAGCATTAACAGCAGGCGCCGCCGTGTCGGCCCGGGAGGGAACCAGCCCGCCCTTCCCGACCGTCCCCCCTCCTCCCGCCGCCGCCCCGGGCTCGCGGCGCCTCACCTCTCGGTCGCCACTCGTCGCGGGCTCGCGGTGCACTCTGAACCCAAACAGGACCTGCTCGTAGCTGCCAGCGACCAGCTCCATTCAGCAACACACGTGCCGTGCAAACAAGCCGGCGTGAGGAGCTGACGGAAGAGGAGGCAAGCGCTTTCGGCTTCGGCGCGCGAATTATACGTCATCACGTAGTGGGCACCGTTTAGGCGCCTGTGTCTGCAGCAACTGAGTGCCTTCTCGAAGGTCACGTGGTCCTTCTACGTGGAGCTAGAGGCGAGAAGCCGCCGGTAGAGAGAGGGTCTCACAGCAGAGAGAAAATAATGTTGTTGCAAACAGGCAACTCCTGGGACACTGTGACCTAGGCGGGCCTTGGGAAGTGGGCGGAAAATACTCCGCGCAAGCCCCAATTTCCGGTGCGTCTATGGAAGGGGCGGGTCCACTTCCGGCATCGGTGGGTGTTAGTGGTTGAGGTTCTTGGCGTGTTGCGGTGATTATGGATTCAGAAGTTAAGTTTTCTCCTTTTGCGGTTTTCTCGTTATTTGGGCACTGGGTCTCTCCACATCACCCAGGCCGGCCGCCTCCTCGCTCCTATTTTCCTTCTGTAGTTTCCCGTGGCTCCGATTACAAAGCGACGGGTTTCATTTTGGGGCAGAAAGCACTTTGGGACCCTTTCTGTCGGATCGGCACAGGATCGATCCGGGCTCCCGGCTGTCGGAGCTCTGACCGTGTCCCCTCGCTGGACTGAGTGCCCGGGCCTGCCAGTCCATATCCAGCCCGCAAACCAGACCATGCCGTACGCAGCTCTTCTTGCCAGCACGGTTCTCGGATCTAAACGCTCCTAAAACTGGCTCGCGTTAGGACACATGCTAGGCTCGAGAAAAAAAAAATATATCTTGAGCATGGTTATGTTCGAAATGTTTACTCTAATGTGCACCTCCTCCACCAGTGATGAAAGGGAAAGAGCAAAGGTTAATGGAAGCAATAATAACCCCCCCCCCCACACACACACACACACACATTGAGGTTTCCATAAGTTTTAGGCAGGCAGGGTCAGGGCATACGCTATTGCAGGTGAGTTAGTTAGAGCTTATGTCTGATCTTTACACAGGCATGTGAACTAATAAAGTCCCTAAGTGCTTAGACTTATTTCTTTTTTTGAGACACTTGTTCTCTAAGGTACAAATTGTCAACATAGTTAACCAGTTAAGGTTTTGCTTGAGAATGGGAAAACGATTTCACTTTGGAGGTTTCTGATGATCTTTCAGTTGTGGGAAGGCTTGCATTTTTCCAGCCTGGACTACTCCACTCGCAAGTCCGCACACAGTCCAGTTGAAACCCGTGTGTTAACTAATTTAATGCATCTTCGGTTAGAGCTAATTTTCCTGAGCGTGGTGCTCTCGGGTGCCCCTGGCTGTGCTGGAACTAGCTCTATAGACCAGGCTGGCCAGGAACTCACAGACGTCTGCCTGCCTCTGCCTTCCCAGTGCTGGAATCAAAGGCGTGCACTGAGGATGTTTTTTAAACTTAATCATTTTCTCCCGAGAACCACTAAAGTAGGAATATGCCCCCTTGGTTTGGAACCAAGTAAGAAAGTCTCATTTCTCCCTATACATGGTTTGTAGTGTTTTACTTCAGCTCATCATCATTTTAAGACATAGTATCCAAAATAGGGAGGAAATGAATAAAACTGTTTCAGAATCCTGTGCTTTATTTAATCTGTTGTTCCTGGAAACCCCTTCTTCCCCTTTGTCTCATTACATCCAGGGAAATACCAGTTGCTGCTGGAGAAATTTAAGTGTGGGTATTTTTGAAATTACAACAGAGGAAGTATAATTGTTAGAAGTTCTTCATCTCTGTTTCATTAATTTCCCTAATCTTTATTAGAGAAAGTTAGGGGGAAACCTTCCATGCTCCTGGATTGGTAGAATCGGTGGTGTGAAAATGGCTGTACTGCCAAAATTAATCTACAGATTTAACACAATATCAATTGTGATGTCATAGTTCTGGAGTTTTGAAAAAACAATGCAAGCGTTCATATGGAACCACACACACGCAAAGAATAGCCAAACCAATCCTAAGGCGTAAGAACACTGCTGGGGGTATTATAACCAAAAAAAGTGAGACGTGGCAGCCCGTTTATATTGGGTTTCATGGTCTGAGTTGATAAGGATGACTGACTAGGTCCCTTCCTCAAGGAACAGGTTTCACCAAGATACAAACTCGGATCACTGGATTCAGAGTCCAGAGCGTTATCCATTACACTACAGGTCAGCTGACCGCCCCACATTATTAATATGCTATAGAGCTATAGTGATTAAAAACAGCCTAGCACTGCTATACAAACAGACAAATGGAATAGAGGACTGGAAATAAAATATCAGAATTATGACCACTTAATTTTTGACAAAGGAAGCAAAAACACACTTTGGTGGGGGAGATAATATGTTCACTAATTAGTGACAGCAAAGTTGGATATCTACTTGTAGAAGAATGAAACTAGTTCATCTCTTTAACCTTGTACAAAAATAAATTCAAAATGGATCAAAGAATTTACAACCTGAAATGCTGGAACACCTAGGAGAAAATGGAATACCAAGTGTTGTTGGTGCAGACAAGAACTTTCTGCATAGACCACCGATAGCACAGGAACTGTCCCTACTCATCAACAGGTTTGACTACATGGGAATAAAAGTTTCTGCACAACAAAGGAAACCATCAGAGCAAAGAGCCCACAGAATGGGAGAAGATCTACCAGCTAACTGCAGACAAGTGACTAATACCCAGAATTTACCAGGAATCCCAGAAAGTAGATACCATGGAAATAAATCTGCCAACAAACAGAGCAGTGAATTAATTGAATGGATATTTAATGTGTTTAACATCAGGGAAATGCCAAATAAAATTACCACCTCACCCCAGAATATCTCTCACCAAATATTGGAGAGGATGTGAAGAGGAACCTTAACTCATTGCTGGTGGAAGGGCAAGTTAATACAGCCGTTAGGGAAATCAGCTTGGAGTTTTTTCAAAAAGTTTAAATAGAACTTATATGACCCCATTGTTTTGTTTCACTCCTAGGAATACACCCAGGATCTCCAATCCTACCTAAGAGACATTTGCACCAACATTTTTATTGCTGCTTTATTTACTATAGCAAGGAAACCAAGTTGTCTATCAACAGATGAATCAAAGAAAATCTGGCACATATATAGAATGGCATACTCTTCAGCTCTAAAAAAAAAATAAAATTTTGAGGGAAAATGGATCGGCTTAGAATATATATTATTAACCAGGGTCACACAATCTCAGGGGAAAAAAACAAACTAGTTTTCCTCATGTGGATCATAGCATATAAATATGTATGTATATGTATACAGACATGTAAACAAATGTACATGTGCGGGGGCTGAGAGATGGCTCAGAGGTTAAGAGCACTGACTGCTCTTCCAGAGGTTCTGAGTTCAATTCCCAGCAACCAACCACATGGTGGCTCACAACCATCTGTAATGAGATCTGGTGCCCTCTTCTGGCCTACAGGCATACATGGAGGCTGAACACTGTGTATATAATAAATCTTAAAAAAATTAAATGTACATGGGGGTGTAGTATAACATGTAGAAAGGGAAACAAAGGGTGAACATTAGGTGGTGAGGAAAGACTAAATGCAAACAATGAAGAATGGGCAGGTGAGTCATGAAAGAGGGTATAAAGTTCATTGTTTCTCTAGTTGGGTGTTTTGGCTTTGTTATTTTGGTTTTGGTTTATTGAGACAGGGTTTCTTTGGTGGTGTTGACTGTCCTGGAACTCTAAACCAATCTGGCCTCCAACTCACAGAGATCCACCTGCTTCTGCCTCCCGAGTGCTAGGACTAAAGGTGCGTGCCACCACCTCCTGGCTTGTGTTTTTAGGTTTTGTTTTTGTTTTTGTTTTTTTTTTTTAGTTTTTCGAGACAGGGTTTCTCTGTAGCTTTGGAGCCTATCCTGGCACTAGCTCTTGTAGACCAGGCTGGCCTTGAACTTGTGTTTTTAGTTTTAACTCTCATGGATTTTTCACTTTTTGTGGCATGTAACTACATAAAAGTGTATTTAAAAGTGTAAAATCCAATATGCAGTTCCATTGAGGTGTAGAGACTTTATACCTGGTTAATTTGACTGTGATTTTCTTTTTATTTGCAAGTTCTTTATATTAAAATAAAAATAAATAATTATTGAGATTGGTGAAGTTAAGCAGAGTTTATGTGAACAAAGCAAAACATGACTTGGCACCTGGTACAAACAGAGGTGGGAGGAACACAATTCCAGACAAGCCCAGGCTCAGAAGACTTAGGAATGTGTCAGCCAAAAGTTCATTATAGGGTGGATAAGGGCACATTGATAAATGTCTATGGTATTTCATTCTTTAAAAGTATATGAAAATCTGTGGATCTAAATTTTTGGAAAACTGATAAAATTTAATTAATCTTTTTATTGGGATTACTGCTTCAGTGAAGTAAAATTGGATTTTACACTCTTAGATACATTTTTATGTACTTACATGTCATCAAGAAATGAAAACTCGAAAATAAAAACAATGAATCCCAGAGCAAAATATCCTAATTTGGTTTTAGATTACAAATGCTGAAACATGCCTAGGAAAATGACATTTCTAAGGCCACACAGCTAAGTGGCAGCCAATTACAGCTCCGGTGTTTTATACCTTGACCTTGAACTTTCTGGTTCATAGAGAACAAAGCTCCAGCTTTTTATTTCACCCCCAGCAAGATCAGCAGCATCTTAACTAGCTCAGGTTGTGGAACTCATTGTCTGAAGCTAACCACTGCGAATTATATACCTGTTCAACTAGATTCAAATGGGACGTACTTCTAAGACCTCCTGTTCCCTCCAAACAGGCTGTAAACAGCCACTTAATCTCAGTATGAAACTGAAGTTGCCAGGGAGCGAAGCAACTGTTGAGAGATCAATAACACACTAACAGGATTTTTATTGTGCTTTAAAATGATTGATTGCAAAGCTCTTTGCACTTGAGCCATGCCTTCATTCATTCATCCATCCGGTAAATATTTATTGAGGACCTGGCTTTGTTTGATTTGCCAAAAAAAGAAACTAGAGTACAGTCGTTGACTGCATTCCTCTTTGGACAGCAGCTTTTCCTTTTTGGAGTAGCAATGGTAAGTAAGATAGTGTGGAGGAAAATTAGCCCTGTTCAGAAAAATCACAAGAGTGTAATATTCCCACCCATTCACCTTCCTTCTCCACGTTAAAAGTGGCACCCCTGTTAGATTCTTGGAGTGTGGGGTTGTAGATAGCTGTATGCCCAGAGCTGTTTGGTACCCTTGCATTTCTGGGCTAAGATTGCGGTCAATTTCCCTGGGCTCTAACAGGCAAAGAGAGCTTGCTTTGTGTGTTCAATCCAGCTGAACTAGGTTTGTTCTGCATTTGGGGAAAATGACAAAGCACTACTCTTGAGCCTGCCCTTGTCGTTTTCACCTACAAGTCCTCCAAATGCCCAGCTTCATCCCTCTGCTCCTGACATCTCTCTGAGTAGATGTAACATGGCATGTTGGCCTCTCCCTTTGCTTCCTGCCCCCCTTGGCGATGCTCAGTTTCCACATCCCTGTTTTCGGCCTCAACTCTCATCCATTTGCAGCCATGGTTCTGATCGTCTTCTATAAATCGTTCTAAATGAGAAGGGAGTAAGGTTGTCTTTCTTCTTCTAATAGAAAGAATCCTTAATCAACATTTTGTTGAAACCTAAGTGCTACACAAGTTAGGAATTGTGTAGAATTTGATGAAGTAGGGGGCTGGAGAGATGGCTCAGAGGTTAAGAGCATTGCCTGCTCTTCCAAAGGTCCTGAGTTCAGTTCCCAGCAACCACATGGTGGCTCACAACCATCTGTAATAGGGTCTGGTGCCCTCTTCTGGCCTGCAGGCATACACACAGACAGAATATTGTATACACAGTAAATAAATAAATAAATATTAAAAAAATAAAAAAGAGTCGCTGATCCTGAAGGGACGGCATAGACAGGGCATGGCCAGGTCTGTGGAAAGATGACCAGTGATCAGCGGGCTTTAAAAAAAAAAAAAGAATTTGATGAAGTAATTTGATGGAAGCAACAGTGACTCAGACAGACGACATCTGTTTAGCCAGGTGACCCTAACAGCAGGCCAGTTTAGTGCTGGTAGGAGTCCACAGTCAATCAACAGACACCAGGCCCAGTCTTCAGAACGTTAGAGAAAAGATTATTCCCCGATACTTGTCAGAGTGGGGTAATGTGACCTTTATTGGGGGACATAGAGACCACTGCATCTGGGTCTCACAACAGTAGATGTTGGGTGCAATAACTATTACTGCCTTAGCAAGCGACAAAGTGTGAGGACATCCTGAGCAAATCACTAAGAGGGGGCTTAGTGTTTTAGATGTTTTATAGCTGTTTTAGCGGTATTCTTGGTATTCTTGTGGAGGGCCAAGGTTTGATTTCCCAGCCCTATCATGATTGCCCACAACCACCTGTAACTCCAGTACCAGGGGTCCATTGCCCTCTTCTTGACTCTACTGGCTCCTGTATGCACATGGAGCATAAAAAACGCAAGGCTCACTCACATACACTAAAATCAATATATCTTTTTGGTCACCAAGGAAACATCAGAGGGTTTTATTCACATTAAAGCTTGCGTACTGCTTGCTTTCTCACGCTTTGTCATTCTGAAAACTACAGATACAGCCATAGCCCAGCACTCAGGACACTGAGGCAGAAGACAACGAGTTTGAGGCCAGCTTCCTATATAAAGATCCTGTCTTAAAAATATAAAATCTTGGCTTGAGCCTGCATTAGTGTAACGTATGTGTGTGATATTCAGTTCCCTCTTGATGACTCTGCAGGTGGCTGAAATAATGGTTTCTCTATTTAGATATCTAAAGAGAAAGCCATACGGCGTTTGACTCCAGGAGATCTTAGTAGATCGATGAAGGAGAGAGCTGGTCAGATAGTGGTATTTGTTTAGATTGTGGATATTGAAAATGACATTTTGCCTTGTAAGGGGTTGTGGGGAGTAGGTAATGTAGAAGTCTGGCTTCTTCAGGGTTCACACACAAATGCACAGGGAATTCTGCAGGTTTCCCCAGTCCCAGTAGTTCTGGGAGGTACTGGCAGCTGAAGCTGGGGACATTTGCACAAGTTTCCCCAGGTGCTGGCAGATATACCCCTGCCTCCACTCACACCTTTGCCTCTTTGTCAGGAAATAATTGCCTAGCAGGAATTGCCACTAAATGTAATTGTCCTATTTCATGGTTGTTTATAAGAGGTATTTGCAAGGGTTGACCCAGATGATGTAATTTCAGACCCAGAAATAAAAGTGGTCACATCGTTTTCTTCAGTGTCTGGAAAGATGGCCAGATGAGAAGATGCTGTAGGCTTTAGCTTGGCTCAACAAAACAACTATTGCTTCATCTGGCAAAGGCGAGTGAGGTCTAATTTAGTTTATACTTTGAATGAATGCACCAGTGTTATTTAATACAAGCCCTTTGCCAACTGCCAGCTTGTTACTTGGTACACAAGCGATTTCATTTTAAATAGTCGAAGCAGAGTCATCCTTACTTGAAACTTCTGGAAAAGAGTGAGTGTATGGTGCTGCCACTGTTGGTGATGACTGTCCCTGCTTGTCCTCTTCTGTCTGTCATTAGGGAGAAGCTGAGGTCCCATTACAGCCTCAGTTACCACGGAGACAACAGTGATGAACAGCCACACAGCTTTTACCATCTTCCCTGCTAGGGCAGTGACTCCATATGGAAGGGAAATGGGCCCAGCCCTCTGCCTGTGTATGAGAATCCGGAACCCCTAGCTGGGCCTTGGGCCACTCCAGAGGTAACGCTTGTTGAAGTAAATCTTAGCTATCTATGTACCTGATAATGCAACCATCATTTCCTTGTCTTCCCCCCTCCTAATCTCTCTCTCTCTCTCTCTTTCTTCCTTTATCTTTTTTTCCCTTTTTTCTTTCTTCTTCTTTTTTTATTTTGGACAGGCAAGTGATTTAAATTCTTTCTAACTCCTCTGAAACTGAAGAAATAAACTCATCAAATCTTGACCTAAAATTTCCTGCTACTAAGTTTTAGATGATCATGGAAATAGATTTTGCTGACTCTTAAACTAGGATTGGAAAGGATTTTTGATTAGCTAAGGGAGACCTGATGAGCATTTAGAAAGGTATTTTAACCCTGATTAGTGATGTGTTGTTTCTAAGTCCCCTCAAGATGTGTCTGCACCTCCATTCTCATTCCCTCTCAGCTTGGAAGAAAGTGTCCTTGGAATGAATTTGTCTTCTCCATGTCTCTTCCACACGCCTGCTAGCCAAATTGGTTGAGCTTTCTTTCTGCTGTGGATAGGGATGAGGCTTCATTTTTATTATTATTACTGTTTTGTTTTTTAACTTGCTTATACTTTCAGCTTTTTTAAGGAGAGACTTCCTTAACACCCCCCACCCCCCTGCCAGGACCTGGGTGTTGTAGCTCAGTGGGAGAGCTGATGCAGAACATCAAAGAGCCCAGTACCCAAACCAAACCAATCAAGCAAGCAAAACCAATATCCCCTTACCCCAGCCCAGTGTTTGGGAGGTGGCAGGGCTTCCTTTTTACCAGATACTCTGTTTGTATGTTTTTTTAAAAGTTGCCCTTTGGGGCTGGAGAGATGACTCAGTGGCTGATAGCTTTGGCTGCTCTTCCAGAGGACCTCAGTTCAGTTCCCAGCACCCACATGGTGGTTCACAACCATCTATAGTGGGATCTGATGCCCTCTTCTGGCATAAAAGTGTACATGCAGATAGAGCATTCATTTATTTATTTTATATATCTATATATACATATATATACATAAATATATCTATATATGCAAAATAAATAAATAAATCCTAAAAAAAGTTGTCATCTGAGGTTTGAATTCACATTTTGTTCTGGTTCTTTTACCCTCCCTGTTTGGTGATTGCCTGTATAACTTTAAGAAAACAGATACAGATATTCATGGTAATCAACTTTGGAAACTACTTTTGTTTTCTATTCATGAAAACACTACAATAATTAATAGATTCCTTCTTTGCCTTACTGACCCTTTCCTTTGTTCTAACAGTTTGTTTTTATTTTTATTTATTATTATTATTATAATAAACTAAAGGTGTAAGCCATCACACTTAGCTATTTCTATTTTTTAGGTTTGTTTTTTATTTTGTGTGCCTGTTTTATTTTTCCCTGTGTGTGTGTCTGTTCGTCGTGTGTGTGCCAATACCCATGGAGGTCAGAGGAGGTTGTAAGATCCTCCAGGACAAGACTTACAGAAGGTTGTGAGATGCCGTGTGGATGCTGGGGGTTGCCTGAACCCCTTCTCTTAAGGACTACTGGTGGCTCCTGGCCAGGGACCCTCATGTCACACAGATGCTCTCCCGGCAGGAATTTTCTGCTTCCCAAACTCTTTAGAATTCACACTTCTCAGAGTGAGGTAGAAAAGGACGGAACATGAGATCATGTTAAGCTCAGATTCTGGTGGCTTATCCATCCATCAACAGGAAGAAAAGACGTAGCTGGAGTGCTGACGTTTGTTACTGAATCATTTCCTTCCAAACCAGGGCATGTTCCAGAGTGAAGAGGAGACTGCCTTTAGGGAGATAATGTATCTTCCCTTCCAATATTATTACTTATTACCAAGGGCAGTTTAAGTTCACTGGTGCCAGGACCTAATGTAGCCTTTCCCAGCTGGGTGGTTCATGAAACAGCTGTATATAGTTAAAAGGAAAGGCATCTTGTCGGGTGTTCTGTTTTGCTCAGGTCAGTTGAAGGAAGGTCACTCCAAGATGTATTCAGGCTCTGTCTCAGCAGGGAGGAACCGTTTCTACAGACTGAATCCTAAACAGCCGTGCAAAACCATATTTATTGATTGTTACACAATTGTAAACCGAGTTCCTCATACCAAAGCCCCTGATATAATCTATACGTTTTGTGAAGGAAAAGTCACACCTCTGCCACTTTAGTCCTTACTGTGCCCTGTTTGCAGAACCCAATAATGCAGGATGCTCCAGGTGTGCCAGGACCGTCTTGTGACCAGAGTCGTGTAAAGGCCGTAGAGATGCTTCAGAAAAACAGCTCTGGAGACAACAGCAAACAATCACTGTTTTCCACAATGAGTTCTTCAAGGTCTAAGTACTTCCAGAAAACAACCACTTCATTCTAATGTTCACACTAGATACAAAGATTCTACTAGATTTCTGCTATGGTGTGTAAAGCTGGGGATGCCCCCTAACCCTGAATAAAGTACTTAGCAGGCAAGCCAGGAGACAAGTTCAGATGCCCCAGCACCCAGGTAAAAAGCTGGGCACGGTGATGCACATCTGTGATTCCAGCATCAAGAGACAGGAGGCTCTCTGGGGCTGGCTGGCCTGTCAGTCCAGCCAGATTGGTGAGCTCCAGATTCTGTAAGAGACTTCGTCTCAAAAAGTAAAGTGGGGAGAGAGGATGGAGAGACAGGTTAGTAGTTTAGAGAACTTGTTCTTACCGAAGACATGGGTGCAATTCTTAGCACCCACATTGTGGCCCACAACCATCCATAACTCCAGTTCCGGGAATCTTCTCATCATCTTCATTGACAACAGGCATGTATATGGTACACAGACATACATGCAGGTAAAACGTGCATATGAATAAAAGTAAACACATTTTTAAAAATAAAGTTCAGTGACCAAGGAAGACACCCAGTGACCACGGAAGACACCCAGTGACCATGGAAGACACCCAGTGACCATGGAAGATACCCAGTGACCACGGAAGATACCCAGTGACCACGGAAGACACCCAGTAACCATGGAAGATACCCAGTGACCACGGAAGATACCCAGTGACCACGGAAGATACCCAGTGACCACGGAAGATACCCAGTGACCACGGAAGATACCCAGTGAGCATGGAGGACACCCAGTGACCACGGAAGACACCCAGTGACCACGGAAGATACCCAGTGACCACTGAAGATACCCAGTGACCACGGAAGATACCCAGTGACCACGGAAGATACCCAGTGACCACGGAAGATACCCAGTGACCACTGAAGATACCCAGTGACCACGGAAGATACCCAGTGACCACGGAAGATACCCAGGGACCACGGAAGATACCCAGTGACCACGGAAGATACCCAGTGACCACGGAAGATACCCAGTGACCACTGAAGATACCCAGTGACCACTGAAGATACCCAGTGACCACGGAAGATACCCAGTGACCACTGAAGATACCCAGTGACCACGGAAGATACCCAGTGACCATGGAAGATACCCAGTGACCACTGAAGATACCCAGTGACCACGGAAGATACCCAGTGACCACTGAAGATACCCAGTGACCATGGAAGACACCCAGTGACCACGGAAGACACCCATGTCAGCTTCTAACCTCCACATACATGCATGTGTACATGAATACAGAAACAAAAATGTCCCTGTGTGCCACCCCAAAGCCAACACAGTTTGGGTTAATCAACCAAAATCTATGCTTGAGATGCTTCTGGGAGTTACTTTTCTCATTTGGTAAAAATGTGGTTGATTGCTTCACCGCTAGGCATCCTCTGTGACTTTGGAGGTACCTAACCTGCTGGTTTTTAGCATAGCCCTAGGTGGTGTCGGTGGGAGGGGAGCTTGGGGGGGTGCACAGGAGAATGTGTTCCTGGAAATATTGCAGATTGACTTCTGGAGAAAGGCCAGTGTTAAGGTGGAGAATGGGCCATCTGATGCCGGAATAGGAAGTCTGTCCAGCATGGTAGCCAACACTAGGGAGGAGGAAGCAAGAGGATTAAGAGTTAGAGGTTAGCTTGGGCTACACAGTGAAATCCTGTGTTAAGCAAGACAACGCAAAGAGCCAGATGCCAGGAGTCTCTGCTGTGTGAATCCTGGGCTCTGGGATTCTAACAGTTTCTAGAAGCTCAAGAAGGCCAGAAGCCTTCGTCAGCCTCATGCTCCTTCCTGAAATTTCTCTTGTGATCCAGTTCACCCACCTCACCATTCAGGGAGGTTTAGTGGTTTTGATATTTTTCAGAGTCAGGTTTTCTATCCCAAGAAAGCATCTGTGATGTTAAATCTTTGTGTCTATTCCCATTTTCTTTGTAGGAAACCCCAGCCCCAGCTGGAAATGAAGAGGAAGAACTTCTAGCAGGTAATGTAAACCTTGAGCTGCCATGGTTGAAGAAAAAGAAAAAGGTTATTTCTAGATACCTCATTCTCTCAAGTTGCTAGAAACTGAGAGATCTGACTAGAAAATTCCATTGTAGATTGCTTAAAAATTCTCTTTGGAGATGTGTCCAGTCTGGGGATACTGGTTTCTGTGCGGTCTAATAGGTGCCCTCCCCCCTCCCTGCGACTCCTACCCACCTGATAAGTTTCTCTGCAGACCAGTTAGCCAGATCAAGCCAGACTGACAGGTATACTGAGCATAGCAACTCCCAGGTGGGTTCTTTAGTCCTAGAGATCGAGGCCAGAGAAGTTTAGCACCCAGGCCAGGGCAGGAAAGTTTTAGAGATTGTAGGAAAGGGGTGATGATGTGTCCACCACAAGCTGGGTTTGTGCCCAAGTATGGTCAAAAACTGAGTGCTTAGGCAGGGACTTGGGCGGCTAGGGCAGCATCAAGGAAAGAAGTTAAAATAGTCGCCAAGAATGTGGAGCTGGATTTTTTGATGCCTTTCCTTTGTTCGGAGAGTATCTGAGCAGCAGGATTTGGAGAGAGAAAGAGAGAGGGAGAGGGAGAGAGGAGGAAGAGGAACAGGGCTTCCTGGACCATGCAGGGTTGAGCTGGAGGCTCCAAGCAAACAGGGTCAATGCAGCAGAGTCTCCTCCCTGGACCTTTGCAAATGGAAGAAGATATGACGCTGTTTTCAAGACTGGTTTCCTTCATAAGTTAGACTTTGAGGTTTGTTGCAGCTTGAGTGTGGCCCCTGAAGTTCAAGTGCTGGCAACCTAACCTCCAGCACCACAGTGTTGAGAGGCAAGACCTTTAAGAGATGAACAGGTCCTGAGGCAGAGCAGTTCACTCATTGTGGGAATGGACTCTTAATACAGCTGGCCCAGCCGTGTATCTCTTCCCGTTCCTTCCTCTCTGTCCCCTTGCGTCCCCTCACTTTTACCATCCACAAGCGGTCAAAGCACCCCTTACTCTTGGGCTGCTAGGATTTAAGTCAATGCATTTTGCCTGTTGTATGAGTGTCAGTGCAAGTGATTAAGGATTACACTTCAGTTTTGTGTGTGAGAGCTGAGATGGCGCATGGGACCTTTCCCTCACCCACATTTTATTTTTTTTAAGAGAAAAAGCAGGTGGTAGTTTCTGTAGCTATGGCTTCCTGGTGCCCCCTCTAGGCCATTGATTGCTGGGGACCCAACAAGTGTCTCTGGAGCGACAGGCTGGACAAGACTTCTAAAATTTTCATTGGTTCGGAAAAGAACAAAGTTGGGCCCACAGAAAGTTTTTGAATGTGTCATATTTGAGGAAGGGGCGGAAATACTTTGTCACAGAAAAGAGAAAGGGAGATACGGAGAAATGGGCACCACTGCCTATTGGTATTCACAGGAAAGATGAAGAAGCGGGCACCATGTCCTACTGAGCCTGGGCTAGGCAGACCCATCCTTGCCTCTGTTATCCTAACGAAGGGAGCAGGTGATTGTGTCCTGCGGCTCTGGTGGTCATCATGGAGTTTGCCTGCTTGTTGTTTCCCCTTAAAAGACATGAAATATTTGTATTAGTTGTTCTAGATGTTCATCCTTAGATTTACACAGGAACAAAAGGTGCTCATTTCAGCTCTCAGGGGACTTCTTTTGGCTTAAAATGTGAACCTGCTACTCCTGCCTTCATGAGCTACACAACACACAATGGGGACATGCAGCAAGCTCTGTGTGGCAGTGTGATCATCAGTCTCAACACTCAGCCTGGGTTACATAAAAACACTATCTCCAAAAATCAACACAACACCTTTCCCAATACAGACTGTCAGGGTTCAAATCCTCCCTACTAGTTCTTCTCTCCCAGACCGATTACTGTCTAGTTGGTTTCCTTTCTGTAAAGTGGATTGTCATATCTAGCTCAGAAGAGATGCAAGTGTGACATCTGAAGAGCTCTTTGTGTCCTCACAGCACCTGGCACACACTAACCACGCCAGGGGATAGCTAGGTCATAGGTCAAGAGGAGCATAGCTAACTAGAAACCAACACAAAACACCAGCTTCCCAAGAAGATGAGTTTAAATTTTTAGTAGGCAAACTAAAGAGAAAACCGAAGAGATGGGAAACTTGAGTGTTCACTGTTTTCTATGTGACAGTCCCAGTGTTCACGGATATAACTGTCTACCTAGGTGCCTGTGAATCTCCTTGCCTTGCATTTACTAGGCTTGCTCATCTCACTCCTAACCACAGGCTAGAGGAGAGAGAGGGCGTGCTCACACCTAAGTGTGTCATATCATCCCAATACCTCTCCCCCAACCACAACATGTAAACAAAACAAACCCTGAAACTGCTTAACTGCACAGGAAAGATGCCTAGAACTGAATTTACGAAAAAAAAAAATTCAGCAAGTTCAGGACAAAAGGTAGAAAGATTGCAGTAGATGGGGTCTTTGTACATATTTCTGGTTGGCCTGGAACTCACTCTATAGGCCAGGCTGATCTCAAACTTGCAGAGATTCTCCCTGCCTCTACCTCCTGAGTGCTAGGATGAAAGGCATGTGCTGTCTCACCTAGGCTGGAGTTTCCCAGCCCTGGCTACATGGCTTGCCTGGGTGGCTGGAAGTCCCAAGCTCAAGTTTCTCAAAAGAAATATGGCTCAAAAGGCTAAGACTCAGACAGCACAACACCAACCAGCTGATGCGAGGTGATGGCCAACAGGGGCTGTATTAGTCTGCTAGAACTGCTCTACCGAGGCGCCACAGACTGGGGGGGTCTTAGACAACCGAAGCTCCTCCCACCAATTTTGCAGCCCTGGCCATACATCTCTGACCACCTCCAGTCTCTGATTCTCTCTTCTGCACTTGTAGATGGTATTCCCTTGCGTGCTTTCACCTGATCTCTTCTTGGTGTTGAGAATAAAACTGAGGGAGTAAGCCCTGCTTCCTCCTCACTCAAAGGTATCAATCCTCTCAGACCAGGATCCTACCCCATGACCCACTCCAACAAACTATCAAAACCGGTGCTAAGACCTCAGTATGTGAAACACAGCATTCAGTTCCCAAGAGCCTTGCCAAGGAATAGGAACCCATGGGAGGCAAATTATGGTCCTGGGTGCATTTAGACTCGCAAAAATCACAAAGCAGCACAAAGAACTTCTTGAGTTACATTCGGTGCAAGGAGAAAAAAAAAATGGAATAACTTAAAAAAAAAAAGTGACTTTGGAGCTCCGGGAGCCTCAGGAAGCCTGACCACTTGGATGGAAAACCCAGGTACAGTTATTTATGGTCATGGTATAACCTTATCACGGGTCCCAGGCTTTTGAAAGAGGAGGCCAGGTTCTCCTCTGCTTTAGAATTCCTTGGTCCACGAAGCTCTTTCACTCTTGTCGGGCTGTTTGGTAAGCAGACAGGGACCAGTACAAAGCATCCTCTTGGGGTCTCAGGCCAGCGGCTCCAGTCTCATACCTTTCTCCTAAATGGAATCCCCCCAAACATCTTTGGATTTCTGTTTTCCTCCATCTCCCTTCAACTGTCTAGACTTCTGAGCCTGATGACGCCACTTTTACAGTTTGAATTGTTGGTTTCAAGTTTTGGTGGGAGGAAACAGAATTCATTCCCCCCCCCCCAAATACCTTTTGTTATTTTCTGTGTATATTCATTGTGCGTGGTATTATGCTATGTAAAGAGTATATATTGTACACTGAGCATATTTCCCCAAAATAAAAATCTTAGCTATAATGTCTGTAATACATCCACTGATGCTTTTTTTTTTTTAACAAAGCCTCTAGTTTTCAGTCATTACCAGTATGTGTTATGTGAAACTGTTTTTCTCATGTCTGTGATTGGCTTCTGCAGACCCAGACCTTCATTTGAATATTGAAGAATCAAACAAGGAGTTCATGGCAGAAAGCGAAGAACTGTATGACTCCCTCATGAGCTGTCACTGGCAACCTCTGGACACCATCCTGTCTAACATCCCCAGTGAGCCCCACTCCCACCCCCCAATGTGAAACAAGTGTTCACCATGCCCTCCAGCTGACCTGTTAGTTGTATCTTGCTTTGGTTTTGAAGGGAAATAAATCCAGAAATTTATCAGATTATGAATATATTATTAACTTTTTTCCTAGCACTAGGATTACACGCAGAGTCATGTGGGTGTTAGGAAAACACTCTACCACTGAGTTATGCCCCCGCCCTCAGAAACTGTATGTAAATATCAATTTCTGGGACTTCAGTGAGACTGACAGGATGGAATATGATGTAAATAAAGATTACCAGCAGCCATTCCAGGAAGTGTGTTATCTTAAGTCAGTTCCGGAAGAATTCACATGACGGACAAGGCAGAGGTTATGATATGACATTGGAAGATAGATTTTATAGAGATGGGTTGAGCTCAAGGGTTGGCGACCTTTGCCACTGCCTTTTCCTGACTTCACGCAACAGTAATCTCGTGGGGAGAAATCAGATGCACACAGGATATAAAATTTCTCTTGCATCTAGTCTGGCAAATGTCAGTTAGAACTAGATGCTCAGTCTTCACTGGCCCCCAAACTGTTTAAGGAAGTTGGTTTAACAGTAAAAGACAAGGGAGAGTCACTCAGTGGAACAGAAAGATTCCACAGCCTGATGGGTTTCCTAAGATCAGGGAACTGGGACTTTATACAAGACAGTTGTGAAGCTTCGGTGTGCATCAAGGCTGTGTTTTTGAAGTGGGAGCGGGGTGGCTGGAGAGATGGTTCAGTGGTTAAGAGCACTAGTTGCCCTTCCAGAGGCCCTGGGTTCAATTCCCAGCACCCACGTGACAACTCACAACCACCTGTAACTCCAGTTCCAGGGGATCTGATGCCCTCCTCTATCCTCTATGGGACCAGGCATGTATATGGTGCATAGACATACATTCAGGCAAAACACATTCATATAGTAATTATAAAAACTCAAATAGGTTTTATTGTAGTGCTCCGGTTTATTGCTTTGCCTCAGACTCTTAAGGGAGACTCCCTGGGCTGAGGTCATAAACTTGAAAGCTAAAAGCACCTGCTTAGGAGGGTTGCTCAGACCACAAGCAAGGGGGTCAGTACCTTTCTAAAGGTACTTAACTTATGCTAACACACACTGCTCAGGCCTTAGAAAGACCCACCGGAAGTCTGGTGGGCTGTAGCCGCTACAAACAAAGGCAGGGGCAGGGCTTCCCTACCCCACCCTGTCTCTGTTTGCCAGTTGAGGCAGACGCTCCTTCCTGTAAGGATGACCTTGAGCATCCCCCCCCCCACCTCTGCCATAAGATGCCCGTGGCACTCTTGCACCTTAAAGTGACTGAAGTGTCCCCAGACATAGCCACCTGCCCTCCTCTAAGAAGACTAGAACAGGCCGGTGATTACCGGGCTCCAGGAAGATGTGTTCAGACTGAGTCGGAAAGCTCGCTCTGGGATTTGACAGTAAAATGAAAAAGACACAGACACAAATCAGCAGGGCAAAGATTTGAATTTAGTCAAGTAATTCTTTGTTAGAGAAATGACCACAAATCTATACTGTTTCCATATGTGTTTTAAAGGAACAACCAATTTAACCTCATTTACATCTATCTTGTGTGTAAATGAAAAGGAGGGCTAGGGATATGGCTCAGCCAAGTGCTTGCCTAGCACGCATGAAGCAGGGTTTGATCCTCTTTAAACGGGATATGACCATACATCCTTTCCTCCCAGTGCTGGAGATGAAGGGGGAAATAAGGCAAACAGTCTCTTTTGGTGGCTGCTCTTTGGGTTGGGTTGAGTTTTTGAGACATGGTCTTGCTATACAGTCCAAGTTGGGCTCAAGGTTGTGATCTTTTTGCCTTGGGTTCCCAAGTGCTTAGAAAATAGAGCCTTTTAAGATGTGGATAATGAAGCTAGAACAAGAGAAACTTTTCCCTCTTGGCTTTTTGAGTCTCACTGTAATATTGAGTGGGAAGTATCACTCCCAGCCTGCCAAACGCTTTGGGCTTGGACTCCAACTCCCAGCCTGCCAAGCGCTGACCCCACAGGGTATTTAAACTCGCGCCAAAAAGAAAAACACGTGGTTTGGGGTTTGTAAGTACGTTCCCTCTGTCTTTCCCTTGCCAGGCTCTCCCGGCCACCTGGGATGGGCATTTAATTTGGCTTATCTGATCTGATTGGATTTCTTTGCGGGGCGGAGGTTGTCTTAAGATTTTTTCCTAACAGATGGAGGTCTGCACATCGTATGCAGCTCAGGCCAGCCTGGAGCCAGAAGCCGAGCTCATCCCTCTGCCTCCTAAGGCTGGGATTATGGGTGTAAAACCCCACACCTGGGTCCAGATAAGTGCTTTTCACTCTGTAGGCCATCCTGTTTTGCTTCGCTCTTGAAGAACAAATGTTTAAGGAGACAGAGAGACAATGGAGCCACACTGTGTTCTAGTAAAACTCCACTCCCAAACTAAGAAACCTTGAGTGGGTAGAGAGGATCCCTCGGAAGACAATGGCCAGACAGTAGCAACAGTCGATGAGAAGGGATGGTTTCAGCTAATGGAAGCATTGGTGGCTGCAGAGGAAAACAAAAGCCAGCCAGCCCATGGTTCTGGGGGAGGGGGAAGATTAAGCTTATTTTAAATTTGACACTCACAGGTGTTTCCCTGCATGTATGGCTGTGCACAGAATAAATGCTTGGTGTCCACAGAGGCCAGAGGAGTTGGGAGTTACATTTTGAATCACCATGTAGGTGTTGGGAATCAAATCTGGGTCCTCTGGAAGAGCAGCCAGTGCTCTTAGCTGCTGAGACATCTATCCAGCCCCTCATATGTGGAATTTAAGGCAAGAAGGAAAGCTTCATTATATTTACCCAGTGTGTGCCTGGACTTTTAGAGACATTTTCTTCATTATTAGCAGAAGCTTCAAAGCAATGCCATTAGTACTACTTAGGCTAAGCTATGAGTTTCCATTATTTATTTGCTGCATTTTTATATTCCATTTATCTTTTCTTTGAATTAATATTTTATATGGTTGGAGTACATTTTTGAGTAATCATTTAATAAATGTTTTGGAAGTGGTGCAAACTGCTCATGGTTTTCATTTTCATTCTTAAATTATAGATAAATATAAATTTAAAGTAATTTCCATTACAACTTTGCTTTGGTCACTGTTAGTATCAAGTGCCCCTAATGAGGAATTTGGCACCAATGAGATTTTTCTCTTTTCCAAGGGATACATTCTAGTCTGTCTCTTTAGGATCTTTGTAGTTTTCTCCTTGTCTTTGAAAGCATGGAATTCACTAGGAAGTATGCAATGTATGGCTTTTTAAAGAATTAATATGCTTGCCCCTCAATGCTGTTTCCAATGAGAAGATTCAATTTTTCCTCATTTCTTGAAAACGATTTTCTCACCAGGTGGTGGTGGCACATGCCTTTAATCCCAGCACTTGGGAAGCTTAGACAGGTGGATCTCTGCTCTGTGAGTTCGAGGCAAACCTGGTCTACAAAGCTAGTCCCAGGGACAGCCAGAGCTGTAACAAAGAGTGGTGCAGGAGAATTGTCTGTATTCTGTCAATCGTATTATAAATAAACGCCGATTGGCCAGTAGCCAAACAGGAGAGTATAGGCAAGACAGGAGGTAGAGGCGGTGCAATGAGAACAGGAATATTCTTAATGGGTCAATACAAGCTACAAGAGCTAATGGGCCAGTTTATAAGTTATGGAGACCTCTGTGTGATTTTCTCTGGGACTAAAATGGCTGGGGGACTGGGCAGGACAGAAACCCCAACAAGCCAGCTCCTCCTGCTACAACAGAGAAACCCTGTCGAGAAAAACAAAAAAAAAATTATTTTCTCAATGCCTTTGAAGGCTCTTGTCAATTCTTATTGACCCTGGGATCTTTCACTCTGGGAAAGAAAGCCCCCAAGCCATGGTGACAGGAACCAGGGCTCAGTTTCTCTAAGCAAATATCTGTTTTTTAGTCTGCATGGCTCTTCCTTCAAGCTTCTTGGCACTCATATAGTTTGTCCCTTTCTGGGTCTCAGAGGCATCCATCAGAGGCAACCCTGCACACAGCCTTGAACATCCAGATGTAGCTTTGTTGGTAACACCTACAGCATCACACCTGATGCCACAGGCCCTACAGTGCTTTGGGCCCACTTGAAATCAGTATGTCTTACTCATCAAACTTGGCACATACTACAACTTGAACCTTTTCTTCGTGGCTGCTCACAGTTTCCCTCTGGGTAGAGCAAACTGCCCCCAGTCCTCTGACTGACAAGAGTCCCAACAAGAACCGTTCATCTCTACAATCATGCAGGCATTAAGGAGTTCCATTGTATCATCTCTTCCCTCCTAAGGTATCCCTGGACCACAATTGTGCAATAGTGAATGTTCATCCTTTATATTGTTGATATGCACATTTTGATAGAGGGCTCTTTCCACATTGTGTTTCTTGACAATTATAAGAAAGCTAGGAAATATCTTATGATTTACTTTTATTTGATCAACTTCACAAACATTCTGGTTATTTCTAAAGTGAAAAAGTTAACCTAGTTAACTGTATTCATGTCTAGTTGTTTAGGAAGTCACATAAGAATGAGAAGAAACAAATAATTTCTTGAGTTCTAGATAGGTTAGAGAGTGTCCAGATGTCTCTACCCAGCCTTGAGACAATCATTTGGTCAGTCTCTGTCTTTGAAAAAAGGAAGAATAGTCAATGGACTTTGCAGAAAAGAAATACATTAAAGAATCGAGTGAGTCTTTCTCTGTTCCACTAGCCAGTTCCCAAATCATGACATGAAAACTTATTATTAATTATGAAAGTTCAGCCTATAGCTTAGGTTTGTTTCTAACTAGCTCTTATAACTTAAAATTAACCCATTTCTATTAATCGACTTTTTGCCCTGTGGCTTTTTTTTAACCCTTCTTTCATGCTATATGTTCCACTCCCTCAATGTCTTGTTAGCATTCTCTCTTTTCTTCGTCCCAGAACTCTCTCTGCCCCAAAGTCCCACCTAAACCTCCTGCCCAGTTATTGACTGTTCAGCTTTTTATTACACCATTCACAGCAATACACCTTCACACAGTGTAAAAATATCTCACAACAAAAGAAGGGGTAATTTACATCCTGATACTC